CAGGGTGAATACATCTCATTATACTGATTTACTGGTAGTCTCGAAATCCTACTCTAATACGAATATTAATATATTGTTATTTAATCGTAACTTTGGAAATGCTTATTTTATCCCTCAGGGCATGGGGATCCTGTAAGGTTTCAATGAATGTTCTAACTTTTTGACCATCTGGATGCTTATGTTTTAATTTTACCTGGTTTTGCAATGATAAGTCTTATTGGTACCGAAATACGTAATCGAAAGCTTTCTGTTCGTTTTTCGCATGTAAGTAGAGATTCGAGACTACTAGCAAATCAGTTATATGAAATGTATTCAGACTATTTTATTTAAGGTGATGAAGGACTGGTAGTAGAATTTCCCCACAATGATATGAGTAAAGCTGACGTTTTCATTAAATTTCACATAGCTTTGCCTTCCCAAAAGGCAGTTGTCCTCAACCAGGATGGACTGCATAGGTCCTATCAACACTCCAAGTGGGATTCGAACCGTGATAATGCATAATATGATTTTGACACGTTAACCACTTGGTCACATTGCCACGAGTGCCCTTGGGTCACAAAGCAGATGTGATTTTCAAAGAATGCCAGGCCTTTTGCCATATCATATTCTTTGATGGGATTGTCGACGAAGCTATGAAAATCGACTACGTTACTTATATTTCGTATTTAAGTAGAGTTTCGAGACTACCAGTTAATCAGTAATATAAGATGTATTCACCGTATTTCGCTTAAGGCCTGGCCTTCCTTGAAATTGCCCTCTGTCCTATGACACAAGAGCATTCGTAGAAATTTTGCTAAATGGTTAGCGTGTCCAGTTTACATGCTGCACTATCATGGTTTGATTTCCGCTTGGTGTGTTGATAAGACCTATGCGAGGTTCAAACTGCAGTCCAGCCTGGTCGAGAACAACTTTTGGAAGCGCAAGGCTCTATTAAATTCAATGGAAACGCCAGCTCTACTCATATCATTGTTGAAAAACTCTACAACCAGTCCTTCATCACCTTCAAAGAAATAGGATGAATATATCTCAAATTTTGTGTTCAATATTTAAATATGTAAACATTTATCTATGGTTGACTTAGGTTTTACTGTTTGAGCCCATCATAAATTTAAAATTGGCATAGAAAGTAGGAGTATATCGTGATTTAATAAATAATTATTTTCGCAATTCTCTTTACATTTAACAGAAATTTATTGTTCATTGTCTAGCTTGGATGCGAGCCCATCCAATTCTTGAATTATAGCCGCTTTTTTTCATTTTTTATTGTATCTTGGTTCTTATAGCAATTTTATTAAAAGTGCTCTTTAGCAATCGCCTATTTTAGTCGGATATAAGATTACTCAGATTTCTGCTCAAAACCACCATGCTGTCTCAGCCTCGATCAACTGACGTGATCTTATGATTAATAGTTGAGTTTTCTTCCATACTGCCGTGAATGAGCTTCACGATGCCACCAAATTTCAGCAAGCCTCACCTTCCAAAAGGTTGCCCAACCCATAGTGGACTAGTGCTTTGACCTGTTCAACAATTCCAATGGGATTTGATACCGAGTAGTGGGCATCACGATGACATTAACCCTCCGCTGCTTAGAGGAAAGCTTAACACGTCTTCACCAGGATCAAGTAAGATCGCGCCAACCGAGATATTCCACTACTGCCAAACGATAGTTGACAAGTAGGATTTGCCTCTGTCTTCCAGTTGGATCGATCTTCGACTCTCTTCATCACAAGCATTGACTCTTGGATAGAAATGAGCCTAATCATTATTCATTTATTATTCTTTTCACGATTTTTACCCGTATGACCTTAAATGGTTCGCTTCAAAAGGGGCTTATTTCCTCAATTTAAGGAAAGTAAATACTTGCCAGTGGACGTCAATACGATGATGCAATACAGGGTTGAGAGATTTCAGCTCTGCTAGCTTTGCCCATACGCAACCTGATAGAGCATAGAGAAGCTTACTCAGCTGGTAATATGGAAAAAGCGCTATGCTATACGATCTGCTCAAACAAGGATGTAAATCTATAATGAGACTTTGGGTGTGACTGACATTATAGCCATCATGCCCACTTCATAATGCAAGGCTCTCTTGTTACATCGCCTGTATATTTTATGCATTCGTCAATATGAAGTTGTTCAGCACAGGATATCCTCACTTCTGGTTGCCCAAACAACTGCCTAGCCTCAGTATGACGATGAGCGCTAGCCAAATGACCTAGGAAAATAGTTTAAATTATTCACTAATTTGGGCTGACTGTTGTAAATAGTGTCTGTCGATGGTATGTGAATTTATGTTACTAAAATTCCTGGCCCAAAAATACACAGCATAGCATAAAGTAATTTTTAGGTGGCTATGATTGTGCCTGATTATGTGGTATGAGAAGTATGTGTCACCTTCATAAATCACACACATTTTCATTTGACCCCATCTAAAAAAACTCCGGATTGGTTTGAAATAAGTATCTATTTTCCCAGCTATTCAAAAGATGTCAATAAGGTCACTTTATCAGAAGTGGCTTATACTTTTTATTATCTGTCTTTAAGCTGAATTCTCCTATTTTATATACATAATACACTATCTCCTTAGCCTAAGGTCCAAAAGCACTGTCAAGTAAATTCTATCCTTGCAACTGGCCAGGCATAATTGTTACTCTCCTTGTTAGAACAAACCATTGTCAGATCCCAAGCAAAAAATGAATGGATAATTGTTCTTGTCTGCTGGACTACATTTATTAAACCTTTAATAAACTATTAAGTTTCTTATAGCAATTCAAAAAGAATCACTAGGTTTTGGTCCCCTTATCAGGAATTACGACATAGTCGGAGTTTAATCTAATTGGAATCTCAGATAATGCCACGAATAAGTGGTACTTTCCACTCTCCCTGAGTCTTCTTCCCAGAGAGCTGAATTTATACCTTCTCGTTAAATCAGCGCAAAGCGTCATGGGCCAATGTATTTCTAATCGCGAGTCTGATTCACTTTGCTGGTGTCGTCTTCTACGCAATCTTCGCCTCTGGAGAGAAACAGGCCTGGGCCGACATACCTGAGGATGCATCACGAACAACTGTTCCGCCTGGTGCTGCGGTAAACAACTCATGGAGCCCGCCTGTCGAGGTGCCGCCAGAGGCAATGTCTCCCGAATATGGTTATGTAGCTGGGGAGAAATATGATGGAATGCAATTTGGACAGCCTGACTATCGACAAGAAACAACAAACTACGGTTAACACATAAAATCTATTTAGTTTAAAAATTATATTACTTAAATTATCTTTTAAGTAATAAGTTCATTTAGTAAAAATATATAACATATTTCGTTTAACGGATTAGTAAAGTTAATGCAA